AATGTCTTTATAACATGATATATATAGCAGATCCTGAAGGCCCTTTTACATAGTACAGGGCTGCGCTGTGAAACGCATCCACCTCTATTGCTTGCGCCGCAATAACGGTTTCGTATGTCAAGCCATCTAGGTCAAAATTTGCCACTTTCCGAACCCGTATGGTTAAGAAATTATGTAAAAATAAGAGTTGAATGAGTCAGGACGTGTAAAAGTCTGTGACAAACCCAGCAGAACACCGTATTTTACGCCAGTGAGTGGCGTTTGAACACATCATTACCAGTGGCGAAAGAAATTGACCTCCTTTTCAGGTCAATTAAACGCCACTTCGTACGTCACGCGGCTACGCTAAACTATACAAACAAAGGTCACTTTAGTCTTCCTCCGACAGATCTGATTCAAAGCCAATTTACTCCCGAGAAATACAGCAGCTGGAGCTTTAACTAACAACACACTGTGGGATAAACTGTAGACACAAGCAGTTTGTGTGTTTGCTGATGTTTGTCGAGCTGAAAGAAACGTTGCATTTAAAATTACCTGCCACAACATGTTCCACCTTTATGCTTGCTTGACTTTTGTAGAACTAGCCAGATGTTGGCACCTGCAGTGCCCAAAAAAGAAGAAGAAGAAGTAAACACCGGCTCACTTTCAATCCTGCATCTGGCACACACTTTTATTCTTTCTTTTTTTCTTTTTTTTTTTTTGCATCTGTCATGTCTTTTAATCACATATCTTGGTGATTAATACACAAACAGAACCAGTGATGGGAATAACAGCGTTATAAGTAACGGCGTTACTTTTTTCAGTAACTTGTTTTGAGTCCTGCAGCAGTCCGACTGCCCATCGAGAAGCAGCAGAGCGTGTGTGCACGGATACTTCAGCCTCCTGCATGTGTGTTTGCTAAACTTTACTGCCCCTGCACATACACCAGTGTCCTGGATGATTATTTTTTATACACACACACACTCACAGAGAGGGAGAGAGCACCAAGAAAACCTTACATAACTTGGTGGAAAAGATGGATGTAAAAGCAGTTCTTTGAAAGTCAAAGGCCCCCATGTCTGTCAAAATTCCCTGTGCAAAATGGCTTTTAGTCACAGTGTGAAGGCCTCGGGGCACTTGGGAACTTTCTATAGCCACCTGGACAGCGGAAACGTGAAGTCTGGGGAGGATTAAACCTGTTCGCATGACTGTATTTGGTTCTGCATTCACACAAAGTGACAATGAAAAGTTTCTCGAGAACACAATGTTCTTCTTTTTTTGCAGTATTAAATATGGAAGTGAGCAGATGCTGTCTTCTCTGAAGTGTCCAGTGTCGCGCTGGTGATAATCCTAAGGGGTTCTTCATAGACTTCTGTGTGCGCATGCTCGTGTGTGTGCGTGCGTGTGTGTTTAACAGTGTCTTTCCCGTCCACTCATGTATATTTTAGTGTTGTTTGCTTTTGGATTCCCCTCCACTGTGCTTTTCATCCTTGAACAACACGTCAGTCAGGTGCTCTCTGAGGACTAGAGCGAGAAAGGAAGAGATAGACGTGGGGACACCAAGAGAGGCAGAGAAAAGAGGCGGCAGACACAGGGAGAGGGAGGGAAAAAAGGCGAGTTTTGAAAGACTTCTAACTTCATAAAAAAGAAAAGAAAAAATGAAAAAAAAGAACAAAAAGAAGAAGAAAAGAAAAAAGAAAGAAAAAGAAGAGAAAAAAAGAGGGAAAAAAAGTAACTAGTAATCTAACTAATTACTATTTCTACCATTACAACGCCGTTACTATGGGCGCGTAGAGCTGCCACCCAGGCAAAATTAAAGTAGTTATATCACGTTATAACATGAAAGGTTTATTGTTCTAACAATATACTGTTCATGTTTGTACAACATAAAATCACGTTATTATAATATACATAGTTATCCAATTTGTACAATATAATATTTATATTGTTATAACGTTATAATTATCAGTTTCATACAATATAATATTTATGAAAAAAAATTTGTTGTAATGTGACATCTGAACCACGATTCTTCTGTGATGGAGAAAAAAAAGAATAACTCTTAAAAAATGGTTGACTTTGTAACTTTTAACAGTTTGATTTAAAATAAACTATAGTCATGTACAGATCCAAAACTACAAAAGAAATTAACTTTGAGTTACCTTACTGATCCAAACTTTAGTATCAATAAGGAAAATAAAAATAATTAAATACAAATAAAAACCTGGTTGCTTTAGCGCATCTACAAACTGCCAATGATGCTTTGCATTTAGAGATTCTTAATCCACGAGTGACAGTATTTCAGATTCTTTGTTTTTCTGTACAGCATGTGGATTAAGATGCTATTCGTGTGAAGCTTCTGATCCTCACTCCAGACCACAACATGTTCCCCCTTAACCGATGCTACACCTCGTATGTGAGCGGTAAGTTATTTCTAAACATCAGTAGTGTTTAAAGCTGTAAATAAGACGTGTTCTGAGCTGACATATTGCTAAATGATTGGAACTAGGCCTTAATGTTGTTGCTCAAACTAACGTTTTCCCATTATGTCTTACAGGCACTGTCACTAAGGGCTGCCAATACAGTGCCTCATGTGTCAAGCCTTTTAGCTGCTGTGAAGGGAACTTGTGCAACAGTGCTATACCAACTGGTCCCAGTGTCGTGCTCCTGCTGGTGTCTCCAGCCATAATCACCGTCTAGCTCTGAAGCTCTGAAACAACTACATCTTAATCATGTTTTACTTTGTTCTTAACCAAAAATTACAACCCAGGAATATTAAGCCATTTTTAAAATAATGTATGGATATTTCTTTTCAATAAAACCACAATAATATATCAACTACTGCATTGTTTAATTCCTAGGATTCTGCAATTCACATCACTACAGCAGAAAGATTTTTTTGTGAGCTCTAACAGAAAAACAAACAAAACAGGACAGAAAAATAGACGTTATTGCGAGCAGATCAATCATTTAATTTTTTAGCTGTCTGATAAAGACTTATTTAATTACTTTTTACAGTTATTTCCACAAGTGCAGAAATCACTTTTCCCACCCATTTGATGTGCTCACTCTGTGACTGAGATGACTCTTTCATAAGAGACGCATCAGGCATATACAGTGTTTGCAACTGTGAAAAACAGGTCTTTAAACATGAATAACCTGAAAAAGTCAACATTGATGCAAAAGTCAGGTAGGTGAATTTCACCTAGTCTGATCGCAGGTAAATACACATAAGTCATTCATGACAATACATACAGTACTTCTCTAGATGTCACACAAAAAACAAACATATACCATATGCATAAATAAAATTAAATATTTGTTCTTTGGCAGTCTACCTTCTAATTGTGCCAAGCACTCAATCACGGGGGGGGGAGGGGAACAACAACAAAATTTTTTTACACAGAAAACTTTCCCTTTAACATTCACATCTCTGTTGTGTCACGTTGAGGATTTCACCATTACACCTAAAACATCAAACAGTATGTGATCGCCAAATCCACTTATTGTGTTTTAAGTGAATGTCCTTTTAAAAACCTTCATAGATACATGTTATATTTTACATTTTGCAATCTAACCTATTTAACATAGGTTAGATTCTCACACAATCTCACACAAGCTTTCCTGGTTTCACAACAAAGATGACAAAGTAAGGTTACTAAAAAGAAGTACGAAATTATGTATGCATCCGTTTACTTATTCATTTGAAGAAATGCTGCTGTGTACTGTGTCAGTAAAAGCCCATCTATGTAAAATTTAAACATTTCTTGTGGTAGGATCAAGAATGCAAGGGGAAAAAACAAACATGGCCAATTTATAGGATTTATCATTTGTAAGTTGCTGTAATTCCAAGACAAATTCATATATAATAACACTGCTGTTTTTATTATTTTCAAGCAAGGCATTCAAATTACTCGGTGTGCTTTACTCTCATGCTGGCAATCACTATGAAAGAGCAGACAAACATTTAAACTCTTCATGCGCTTTGCAATGTCACTGCTTTGAAACATTGCATCAAAAACATCAATGTATGTAGAAATGTGTTTTATCCCTCTGGTTCTCTTTGCTAAGGTTGGCATACCATAGATTAGCTAATAAGGCAAATGAAGCCACAAGGCAGACATAGATGGCACACTAATATATGGCATCTTTGAGAATAATAACTGTTTTACAAGGTAAATCAGTTATAATAATAGAGTACTGTGCAAAAGTCTTGAGCCACCCCTCATTTCTCTTTATTTTAAAGTTATGACTAGGAAATAGGACAGTAATTTATTGAAATTTGCAAACATACAGAGAAAAACCAACAAATAAGGCAAAAACAGAGTTTGTACGATTCTACTAAGTTTGAAAGTCAGTATTTGGTACGACCACCTTTATTCTTTAACACCGCCTGAACTCTCTTAGGTAAGCTTGTGTGTCATTTCTTTAAGTAGTCTGCTGATCCCCAACACTACTGGCTAAAATATATCCCCAAACCCTGACAGTGACTTGACTGTGCTGTAGACACTCGCCATTGTACCTCTGTCTTCACCTCATCCATAAATACTGTTGATGATTTGATCGCCCCCAAAAAAAAATTTTTATTCATCACTACGTCAGATTGCCACTGATTTTCAGTCCAATTCTTTTGTAATTAGGCACACCTCAGCCTTTTCTCCCCATTTCTCTTGCTTAAGAATGGCTTCTTGACAGCCACCCTTTTACTGAGACCATTTCTGATAAGGCCTCAGTGAACAGTAGATGAAATGAAGCACAAATTTCTTAAGGACACAACTTAAGAAACAGAGATTGTTCATCCGCTGCCGACAGCTATTTATGTCTGTAATTTCTTTTGTCCGATTGCCCAGTTTCCCTTAATGTTTTTAAGGACACACCGCACACCATGTACCAAGTTTTCTCTTATAACCTTGGTGGTGCAAAAATACAATTTTATGCCTGTCAAACTGTGTAAACCTTGGATTTTTGTTGATTCAGCTAAAAAAAATCAAAAAAGAAGTCCAGACGCTTTTCTTTGCAAGCACCTTTAAAAAACAAAAACAAAAAAGGAAATATTTATATGTTTTTGAGACCGGCTGGTAGCAAAACAGTCCCTAAGATACAATTTAAAATTGGTTCCTTACAAAGTTGTCTGTGATAAGCACAACAGTAGTTCATCCCTTGTGTTAGGTGTCTTCCTTTAAGCTGTAGTTATTCATAGGTCAGTGTTAAGTGGCTTCGCAAACAATAAACACTCATCTAAAAAATAGTCAGCTACATGACATGGGCTGAAAATCTGAAACACCTTCAGACAAGCCTGGACAACTATTGCCCAAAAAACACTTAAAAATTGCAAGAAAGTTTGGCTCCTTTGAATTAAAATAACACAATGAGAAGCGGCGCAAGACTTATGCACAGTAATGTATAACAAATATATTACTGTGGATCAATAATAAATATCTTTTAAATGTACCCTGAGCAGTTAAGTTGACTTGTGCAGACTTTTTTATTAAAAAGCATAAAGCAGTAGATTTTGGCACTAAAATAATATAATGGCACTATAGGTTATGGGACTTACTGACATAAAAGTATTTGCAGCTTATTGTTCACCCCTTTATTCATCCCCAGAATCATGCATATTTAAAAACACCCAACAGTATCCACAAATAAAAATTAATAAATATAAAGAGCAATTAATCAAAAGACTGTAAAATGTAGATGTCAGTGCAATGCAAATTAATGCATGTTAGCTTAAAAAGTTAAAAACACAGACTTAAGTATGGCTAGAGTGCATTTTTTTATTGCCCAACCCAGTCACCCCCAAAAAGAACCTGTACCTAAATGGTACAGTTACTTCTATTAATAAGCTAATGGAAATAATATTAACCCAAAACCGCCGCCATGCTTGCTGTAGAGCTTTGGGCATTGAGAGAAAAAAAAACGCAGTATTAGATGGCCACTAAGGCTAAGAATGGTGATGATACAATCACAGATCGGATCTTCTATTGGCTGTGAAAGGCACACAAGGATGAGGATTAGCTTAAGGATGCAAAATGAGAATTAGAAGGTAATTCTAATTCTTTGGGCGGAGGGTTTTAATCTGCAGGCAGAAGTCCTGACAAAGAGCAGGATGGAAGAGACATGAGGTTAATCTTCACTAAAATGTCACTCTACTCTCAACTCAAGCTTCTGGTGGTGCCTCCCTGCTTTTACTTGGCATGTGTGCTCAAACGAATGTGTGCGGGCGCGTGTGTGTCAATCCGGTTTTCAACTCTTTAATGCCTTCAAAGAACCCTTGTAAAGAAAGCGATCTCATCCAGGTCCACAGGGTAATCAGTGAGGTACATGGGACCTTTATCATAATGTTCCCCCTTGTAGCTTTTCCATCGTCCTGCAGGCAAGTAGATATCCCTCTCTTGCTTTCCTGGCTCCAACACTGGCGCCACCATGAGGTCATCCCCAATCAGGAACTGGGAGTCGATCTTATAGGCAGCCTCATCATCATTGGCAATCCACCAGAGGGGCCTTATGATTGGGTCTCCTGTATCAAGAACCACGTGTGCCAATTCAAGAACTTTTGGTGCCACCAGAGTTTCATGGAGCCCTGTGAACTTCTGTGCTATCTTTACCACCTGCAGATGTACAAAGACATTGAGTTAGCATGGAGCAGATGCCACCTAACAGACAGAAGAGTAATAAAACCATCCCCACGTCCTGCTTCAATTTATGCATCAAAGCACACAGAAAAAGAACTGACTTATTGTTTTTGACTTGTGATCAGTACTTGTATATTTTCTAGGAGAAATATTTGTTAATGAAAATGGCATTTTATTTATTCTTTTTTTTTTTTTGAGAAAAATCTGATTTTCTTTAGCGCTTTACAGTGTACGGAGGTCAGAAGAAGGTAAGGCAACATTCACTAAGCCTGAGAGACATAAGAAAATGTTTAAAGATTCTAAACCTTGTGTACAGGGTAAGTTGACTTGGATGAGTATTTTTATATTAAAATCAACTAGGATCCCACATGGTCTTATAGCTGGACAGTCAGAGGGCATGATCTGGAAAACCTTTTAGAAATTAATCTTTCTGAAACCATGTTTAGATCTCTAAAGTGCAAAACTGCTGTTGCAGTATAAATCTTATCTGGGCATTCTTCTCTCTCATCCTGAGAGAGAGATTTTTGGTGTCCAGTAGGAGGACTTGAAAAAAACAACTACTAACTGTTTTTGCTGCTGTATTGTTATTTGTTTTAACTTTTTTTTTACATTTCTATCATGGTACACTACATGCTACATGTATTACAACACCACCCACTCTATGCAAGATCTTGCCGCATGGAGTGATCATAAGAAAAGTAAAGAGACCACATTAAAGCACTTCATTATGCTGGATGGCCTAAAACAAATAGGTCAGGACTCACAGTGTTCCCACAGTGTGGTCAAGTATGTCATGGACTAAAAAGACTGGTACCTAGAAAATGTGTCAAGGAAGAGGCAGAAAAGAAAAGCTGACTGAAGTAGATGAAAGGCACCTCAAGATTTTAAGTGCTATAGACAAAAATCAGACCACTGCTGATTTTCAGGCAGCGCTTAAATAATAAATAAATGCTTCTAGATCAGAGTATGAGGTTTCCAGAATGACCATAAACTGACGACTGAACAAATACAGCTTGAAAGGAAGGAATTACTGAGCGCTGCAAACAGAAGAGTTTCAGATTTGCCAACAAGCACAAACACTGGACTAAAGATGACTGGAAGAAGGTACTCATACAGTCGTAAACATAAGAGTCCAAGTTTAAACTCTTTACTTGCGCAGAAGAGCTGAATAACATTTTGATGCGAGACTAGTTACGGTGTGAGTTTCCATTTCTGCAAATAGCATGGGGAAATTAGAGCAAAGCACCAGTATCATTAATAGAAAGGTCTAACAAAATATCTTGGAATCACTTTTGGACTGAAAGTGATTGCCATGGGTTCATTTAATGACAAGAAAAGGCAAGACAGACTATTTGACTAAGAAAAGGGAATCTGATGCGCTAGCCAAATCGACATAATTCTATAAAATTTTATGTGTGATTAAGGACTATTTAGTTCTTTCAATATA